AGCCTGCGTTGCATGTCCAGGCTACTTTATTCTTTTCCCTGCATGTCTTCAGTTTCTCTGTGATTTCTAATTTTCCTATCAGTTCTTTCTTTCTTTTTTTTTTTTTTTGGTGCCGGGAATCAAACTCAGGACCTTGCGCTTGTGAGGCAGGCACCAGAACCACTGAGCTAAATCCCTGGCCCTATCAGTTCTTTCTTGATTCACAGAGTTCTTCCTTTCCTCTTTGCTATGTTGTTGTCTTCTAGATGTCTACATTCCAGGCCCTGGAAAAACTATCACATGCTAACCTTTACCCTCCCATCGTCCCAGATCTGAAGTTGTCTCTCTTTGTTTCTCTGATGTTGCCTACTTCTGATACTCCATATGAGTGAAATCACAGAGCATTCATTCTTTTGTGATTGGCTTATATTGTTTGGCATAATGTCCTTGGAGTTTATCTGTGTTGTAGCATGTAACAGGAGTTTCTATTTTCTTTAATGGATGCATAATATTCATTGTATGTATATAACATTTTCTTTATCTATTCATCTGTTACTTCTAGTTCTTGGCTATTGTGAATAGTGCTACACCGAATATGGGTACATAAATATCTCTTTGAGAACCTGCTCTGAGTTCTTCTGGATATATGCTCAGAAGAGGGATTGCTGGATCATGTGGTAATCCTATTTTTAACTTTTTGAGCAATCTCTGTACTATTTTCCATAGTGACGGTACCATTTTACATTCTTGCCAACAGTGTACAAGGGGTCCAATTTCTCTGTATCATCACCAAGAGTTGTTATTTTCCTTATGTAGAAGCCATCATGTTATGCAGATAGTTAGGTGTTAGCAGGACTGAGAGACAAAGGGAGAGCACAAAATAGCATGCTTTGCCAGGTGTAGTTAAATATAAAGAAACAAAGATCTCAATATGTAATATATTAGCAACTATTTACTAGGTCTCAGACTCAAAGACAGAAAGCCTCCATTTCTAGAACGAGGCATATAGTATTCTTGGTTGCCACAGCCTAGAGCCCAGTGATATCAGGAGAGGAAATGTCCTTTAGGGACCTTCCCTTGTTGGGCTGAGACTTAATTTAGATTACTGTAGAACTTTTTCTTTCATTCCTAAGTTTCTTATATAATTAAGCCCCCTGAGGGAACACCGACCATCTGAAAAGAAAAAGGAAGACATTTTTGAACTATAAGCATCCAGCATCATAATCACTATAGTTCCCTGAACCTAGGAGTAAATCTTGTGTACATAAAAAAAAAATTTTATGCACACAAAATTGTTTGCACTCAGTGCAGATGTCTGTATGTCATGCCTGCCTTCTAGCTTAAAGACATCCATCTGTATCTGCTTTATCTTAAACTCTATCTATAGTTCTGGAGAGCCTCGTAGGTGTCTTGACTGAATTCTTTCATCAAGGGCACAAAAGGACTGAGGAGGCTGGAGAGGTTCCTCAAAGCATTAGGATCTAGCTTCTTTTTTTTGGTACCAGGGATCGAATTCAGGTCCTTGTGCTTGCGCAGCAGGCAGCGAAACCACTGAGCTGAATCCCCGGCCCTAGGATCTAGTATTTTTAAATGTTTATCAAATTACACACTAGACTCAGCGACTGGACAATTCTGATTGCTCTCAGTAAATCAAACTGGCATATAAGAAATATATTTGTCAAACTTATAAATAAGCAAATGAATACATGGAAAGGAGAAGAAAGAAAATGGATCAATAAAATTTAAGAAGAGTAAATACAGTATAGTGTGGTTAAGAACTCTCAATCTTTTCTTTGGCCAAGTTCAACTGAGGTTGCTGGTAAGGTTGAAGAAGTAAAGCAAAAGATGGTAGAAGTCACAATTCTTGATATTTAGACTGGAAATCAGTGGCAATGAATATTTAAGCTAAATATTGTAAATCCTTGGTATACATCAATATTCTAGAAGCGAAATTACAATGATTTGATTCAGATTCCATCAAAACTGTAACAAATAGCAAGCTGAAAGCAGAAAATTACAAGCAAAAGGGAAAATCCAGAGGACCAAAAAGCTGAGTGTGACCTGTATAAATTTAGCTACTCAAAGGGACATGTTTCCTACAAAAGTATTCATATAGTTTACAAGATACTTTTAAGTCTTACTGAATAAGGGGAACACTTTCATGTGTCAAGATCTTGCTGAAGCACTCGCTATTATTCACAATAAAGTACTAATCAGTGACCTATATGCAATAGCAAGCATTTATTGAATGTCAATCAATGAGATATCTTTAACTCATGAAAATTATCGAATGCAGTTACCATCCGCTTTTTCAACATGTCCTTCCCATATTAAAATCACAATATCCTATACTTAACCTGGAAAAGATAAATTCCATGACCCGTGTGTATAATAAAATCAATAAATGCTCAAGTCCCTTACATAAAATGGCATAACATTTGCATATAACTTATACACAAAGGTAAACTAGAAGTTTCAGTCAGACTTAGTAATGTAATGGTAACATACCCAACAGTTACTCCTAAACACTCTGTCAAACAGGTGGTCTACCAATTGTTCTAACACATAGCACTTTACTTGCTTGGGATCTTGACATCACAGGCAAACTGGGAAACTTCTTAGCAAATTAGAAATGCACTTGTACACCTGAAATTTGTATTAAGCACTATTTTCTTTTATTGTAAATTTTAAAAGCCTTACAGAAAGAATTCAGACACTTATCCAAAATTATTCATAATTAGGGAACGAGATTCTCCTATAATGCAGTAGCGGTTTTAAAAACTAAGGTATCTATAGCTTTACTACAATGCAGTAGTTGTCTTTTGAGGTCACTAGAAGACTATTTAAGAAACTGATGACATTATGGACACCTTCTTCCAAAAGTGGTCAACCGCACAAAACTTACTGGTTTGTACAAACCCTAAAGCTTGATTGTGATCCACAAATTTCAAGGGATAAAAAATTTGCACACACACAATTTACTTATTTCCAAAGTTCTAATCAGCCTGTCTTTTAAGTGAATTATTAAATGAATCATATGGTGTACAGAATGAAGGCATACTGTTTAAGGAATAACTATGTATATATTATTCAGCTTAATAAAACATTACCAGTATATTTGAATACTTTCATGATATGTAACAATAGCCAGGATTGTATACACTCTATACTACACAAAGACCTCTTCAAATACCTTATCTTATGTAGTGGAAATTTCTTAGGGCTAATGCTTTATGCACTCCCTCCACCTCAGCTTCTGTCTCCTTTATTTGGTTGTTTGTACATCCCAAGTTTCTTAAGTAGCTTATAAACTATAAAAAGTAGATAAACTGAGGGGCCGGGGATTTAGCTCGGTGGTTCAGCCACCTGCCTTGCAAGCGAGAGGATCCGAGTTCGATCCTCAGTACCAAAAAAAAAAAAAAAAAGTAGATAAACTGAAGCCTGGAGTCACACTACCAATTCTCATCAGTCTTTCTTCAGATATAAAGTTGACAGCCCAAATCAAGAGGCTTAATCGTCACATTCATTCATTCTCTCCCTCTCCCTCGCTCTCTCAATCTCTCTCTCTCAAAAGGGAAATATGATTGTCAGTAGAAAGATAAATAAGTACAATTCTTTAGATGGCAACTAAACAATGTATATGAAAATATAAAATGTGCATACTTTTTTGTTTGTTTGTTTTTTGTTTTTTGTTTTGGGTACCGGCGATCGAACTCGGGTCCTTCCGCTTGCAAGGCAGGCGGCGGAACCACTGAGCTAAATCCCCAGCCCGCATACTTTTTATTTAACAAAATTACTATTAGAAAATTTGCTGTATGGGAAAAGATGTTCATAGCAAATGCTAGTTTCGAGAGCTCCCTATCTAACACCCATAGTCTGTTATACAATAACTCATGTTTGCCCTCTGATTTTTTGCTTGTTTGTTTGTTTTGGTACCGGAGATCGAATTCAGGACCTTGCCTTTGTGAGGTAGGAGGCAGAACATCTGAGCTAAATCCCTGGCCCCTGCCCTCTGATTTTTTTCATAGCTTTAACAATGAAATTAAACCATATTATGAAGTTAATGACATCACCATTGTCAGAGTGACTATTTCTATTATAAACTTTCCCATCTTATTCATTTTTCCATCACATGAACTGGAAATCTCCACCAGTTTGGTGTCCACTGTGTCCTGTTCATCCACGTTTTTATATTCTCAAGGCATTACACTATTTTCAGTTCTTCTCTCCAGATTATTAAAGCTCCCCAATTAGACTCTCAAGAAATCTAATCTCTTCAGGCTACCTATTTTTCTCAGGCCTCACCTCCAAGATCAAAAATCCCACCACATCACAATCCTAAAAGCGTAACAGATCCCCACTGCGCCTCAGAAGAAAGATTCGGGTTCTGGCATTCAAAATTTGCCCTCACGTTGACCTGCAGCCCGTTTCTTTAACTATAGCACTTTAGACAGCTACTGCTCTCCTTTAGCTGGTTTGGTCAGCCATTCCCAACCAGTGGACAATTTCTTCCCTCCTGTCACTGTTCATATTAGTAAGCCTAAGTGCAATGTCCTTTCTAGGAATTTACACTTAAATAAATTCTACTTATTCTCAGGGAATGAAGAATAAGCAGAATTTGGATAACTGAAAATGCTACCATCTTTGTGATACTGCTTTATGCTAAAAATTGTGCCTTTTGCATATTTTCAAAACACTTTATCCCCTTACATAGTATTTTTTCAACCTGCCATGTATTATAGATTATTCTGTATATAATAATCAGGGTGTACTTTCTAGTTATGTTTGTTTCTATCTAATGAAGAGATTTCTATAAAGCATTTCATATGTATAAACATGAATTAATAATGACTCACTTTTAAGATATGTTTCTCAGATCCATAAGCTTTTATAGAACTCTTCTGAATTTCCTTAAGAAAAATAAATATGAGATTCCTAATACAGAATCACTCTGTATTGAATGGATATTTTTCAGAGGGCTAAGGTAAAACACAAAATTTTTAAAAAGATTTAACAGTTACCTTTTCAACATCTGACAGTGAAGTTAGTGACTGATTTTGAAGAACTTCTGGTGCAGTGAACGCCCGAAGATCCTGATTGGAAATATTTTCATCTGTAAATGACACACTACCAGATGGCAGCAACAGCAGGGACCATGGAGAAATGATGAAGCCAAGGGCAGCAGGATCTGCTATGCTCACTGGTTTATAATTGCACCAAATAAAAAGAAAAAAAAATTGCTTAAAGTTACTACAGATCACTTCAATAAGTACCTCAGCTTGTTCATAAAAATATTAATGGTAGTTAAACACAACAAATCAACATGCTACAAGAAGAGATTTCATATAAATACAATGAAATTATTTATGCTAACATTGTTAACAATGCTAACATTATTAACACCACCTTGATTTGGCTTAATCTTTCAAAATTTTCATGGGGCTGACCATCTCCTCCCTTGCCAGGAAAGGTGAATTAATAAGGCCATCCTTCTCTGCTCCCACAGATGGGAAACACTGTTGTGTTCAGAGAGCCAAGGCCAGTGTGGAGGAGATGAGCCTTTTGGGCTGCCATACCACTGCCCCCAGTCCTGAGCAGCAGAGCCGCCCCCAGCGCCGAGGAGCTGAGGCGCGTGGGCGCCAGCAGCACACATATCCCCCACCCCTTGAAATGAGAAGACATGTAGAAAAGACTCAAAACAAGACTTCCTGATCACCTAAAGGAACCCCAAAGGGAAAGGAGATGAACACTCTGATACTCAACTACCTGGACTCCCAAAACTGGCAACAAAAGAGGATCTGGAAAAAATGAAATCAGAAATAATTTCTCAGATAACAGTAGAGATTGTGCCCATAGTGCAAGACATGATTAATAAATCTAGAGAGGACACAGATTAAAAAAATAGAGGAGGTAAGGAACATGATAGAATCCCAACATAGGAAACAAATGGAATGCATAAAACACATGCAAACAGATTTCCAGGACATTAAAAACGCAACTGAAAGCTTACACAGCTGAATGAGCCAATGTGAGGACAGAATTTCAGATATAGAAAATAAGATTGCAATTAGTGACCAGGAAAGGAAAAATCGCTTCAAAATTGTAAGGGATCACAAGAAATCAATCCAGCAGCTCCTAGACGATGCAAAGAAAAATAACATAAGACTGATCAGAGTCAATGAAGAAACAGGAGAGAGTGCAGATGACATAAAAAAACTGTTCACAGAAGTAATGGCAGAAAGCTTCCCAAGCAGGGGAAAAGAACTTGACATACAGATAAGTGAGGCATATAGGACTCCAACTAGCCTTGATCAAAAAACAATCTACACATAGGCATATAATTGTTAGGATTCCAGAAAGTGAACAGAAAAACAAAATTCTACAAGCAGTTAGAGAAGAGAAACAAATCACATACAAAGGAAAGCCCATCAGAATTGCAGCAGACATCTCAATGCAAACCCTCAAGGCAAGAAGAGCATGGAGTGATGCATTCCAAGTCCTAAAGGAATGATGCATTTCAAGTCCTAAAGGAAAACAGCCTGCAACCCAGATTGATGTACCCTGCAAACCTATCTTTCAAAATTGATAGAGAAATAAGATACTTTCATGACAAAGAACACCTTAGGAACTTCATGAATACCAAACCAGCGCTCCCCAAAATTTTAAACAATATCCTAGGAAAAGACAACCAGGACCACAACCCCAGGAAGCCCAGCAAAATGAATCCATTGGGCATGACAAGAAATTAAACACAAAGGGGGAGAATTCAAAAAAAAGAAAAAGTCATGACAATGATAAGTCAATATGTATCAGTTATAACCATCAATGTTAATGGTCTCAATTCACCAATCAAAAGAAATAGACTGGCAGAATGGCTCAAGAAGCAAGATCCAACAATATTCTGCATACAAGAAACTCACTTAATTTAAAAAGAAACTCACAGACTAAAAGTTATAGGATGGAAAGCAATACTCCATGCGACAGGAACCCGAAAAAAAGCAGGAGTAGCTATCCTCTTTGCAGATCAAGTGGATTTCAAACTAACACTGATTAAGAGAGATGAAGAAGGACACCACATCCTTGTAAAGGGAACAATCCAACAGGAAGAGATGACAATCATAATTATCTATGCACCAAACAGTGCGCAAAACTATATAAAACAAACACTAATGGACATGAAAAATCACATAAGCACTAATAAAATAGTAGTGGGGGACCTCAATACCCCACTGTCACAAATAGATAGATCAACTAGACAAAAAACAAGCAATGAAATACTAAAACTCAAACTCTTGAACAAATGAACTTGAGAGATGTTTACAGTGTTCCACCCCACAAAATGAGAATAGACATTCTTTTAAGCTGCACATGGATTGTTCTCCAAAACAGACCACATACTTGCTCATAGAACATATTTAAGTAAGTGCAAAGGAACTTAAGTTATCCCCTGTATATTATCAGACCATAGTGTCATGAAATTGGAGATTAATAGCAAAAGAAACCGCAAAAATTTCATAAACACATGGAAATTGAACAACACACTTCTGAATAACCGATGGGTCATACAGGAAATTAAAGAAGAAATCAGTTCCTTCAATTAAATGACAATGACAATATAATATATCGGAATCTATGGGACACAATGAAAGCAGTCTTACGAGGGAAATTCAGAGCAGTGAATACACATATCAGGAAAACAGAATGAGCCCAATTAAACAACCTGATGCTGAACCTCAAGATTCTAGAAAAAGAAGAGCAGGACAAACCCAAAGCTCATACATGGGAGGAAATTATAAAGATCAGAGCAGAAATCAATGCAATGAAGACTAAGAGAACGATTGATACAAAAAAAAACAATGAAGCCAAGAGTTGGTTCTTCGAAAGAATGTTTGATATAATTAATCAGTTAAAATGTATATGAGCCTGTTGTTGTCATACAGGTAGGGTTTTCAAGCTAGGAATATACTTTAACAGATGCTATTTAAATTTTATATTTCTTCCAGAGTCAGTTTCATTAATTTGTCTTCCAAGGTACTTCTTAGAAGTTGTCAAATTCATTTCAAAAAAGATTTTTGTAATATGCTTTCATATCCTTTTAAATTCTGTAAAATCTGTGGTAATGTCCTCTGAATCTTGATATTATAATTGATACTGTGTAATAGGAAGAAAAGGTCTAAAGGAGTAGGGGAAATGGGAGGGGTAGGGAAAGGAAAGAAGGGAAAAGAAAAAATATGAGAAAAGGAAAAAAATGGAAACAAAGTCTTTGTTAATAGGAAAGGGTGGAGGGGGTGAAGGGAGGGCAGAGGAATGGGGAAAAAATAAGAACCAAGATACTCATGTAAAGGTACAAGATCTCAATGATGAATGTTAACTGTATTTTATACCTAAAATGTACTAATAAACCTAATGCAGAAAAAAAATCTGCATGGGTTCTCGAAGCTTGTCACAGTTTATATCTTAATGTCCCCTCAAAGCCTTATGCTCTTAGAGGTAGGGCTTGTGGAACATAACTAGATTATAAGGGCGTCATAGCTGACTTGTTGTTAGGAGGTGGGACCTGGTTGGAAGAGGTGAGTCTCTATGGGTGTGACCTGGAAAGCTGTACCTCCCTTTTCACCTTCTTCCTTCTTTCTTTGCTTCCTGGCTGCCATGATGTGAGCAGCTTTCTTCCTCCAGACCCTTCCATCGAGCTGTTTCTGCCCTGAAGCTGGCCAAATATGAACTAAATATGTGAGTTCAAATAAACTTCTCCTCCTTTAAATTGTGGGTGTCTGGTATCGTGCCTCAATGACAAGGAATGTGACTATCACAAAATGAGACATAAAGCACTTTCATTACTGTTCATAAGAAACTTTATTCAGGTATTTTATTACAGTGACATACAAAAATTGATAGGGAATGGTAGGTCTTTAAACTTTTTTCAAATCATAGATTCCTTTGAAAAATTGGTGAAAGCTATAGTTTCTCTTTCAAGGACACTACTCATGAAACTGTAGGGGAATAAGGCCAAAGGGGCGAGCAACTGCGGAGGGAGCTCAGGCAGCCATAAAACCAAGCATTCTGCCTCTGCCTGGGATGATGGATCACAGAGACACAGACTTATATGAAGACTACCAGTTCCCGTTCAATTTCAATGCAGGAGTGAACAAAAACTACCTCTACCTGTCCCCTAGTGGGAATTCATCTCTACCCGGATCACCTACTGAGAAACTTGGTTTGCTCAGGACAAACCCAGTACCTGAGGAAGGAGAAGATGCTGCAGCCATGCTTAGCGCCACCAAGACACTCTCCGAAGAGGAGCAGGATGAGCTGAGAAGAGAGCTGGTAAATGTGGAAGAAGAAATCGAAACTCTGTCTCAAGTGTTAGCAGCAAAAGAGAAGCATCTAGCAGAGATCAAGCGGAAACTTGGGATTGGCTCACTACAGGAGCTAAAGCAGAACATTGCCAAAGGGCGGCAGGATGTGACAGCCACGTCCGCATACAGGAAGACCACTGAAACCTTATCTCAGGCCAGACAGGAGGCTTCAGTGGCCTTTTCATCTGTTGGCTCTGTTATCACCAAAAAGCTAGAAGATGTAAAAAATTCCCCAACTTTCAAGTCATTTGAAGAAAAGGTCAAAAACTTAAAGTCTAAAGCAGGGGGAACCAAGCCTGCTGACAGTGATTTTGGAGAAGTCTTGAATTCAACTGCAAATGCTAGTGCCACCGCCATGGAGCCACCTCCAGAACAGACACAGGAGAATCTGTGAGATTGCTACCTTTGTTCCACTACCCACTGCCAGATGCTGCAAGCAAGATCCAAGCACATCTTGTCAACATTCATCGCTAGGGATTTCTACCAGATGTGCTTTTATTTAGCTTTACATATTTCTTTGACCAAATAGTTTGTGAGTTAAACAAAATGAAAATATCTTCACTTCTACTCACAGGAAACACACTGAATGTGCATTCAAGGCCCTTTATTTAGGGAAATACTTTTTTTTTTTGGAACCGGGGATCGAACTCAGGTCCTTGAGCTTGCAAGGCAAGCAGCAAAACCACTGAGCTAAATCCCCGGCCCTGGGAAATACTATTATACAGACAACAGGTAGTACCTGAAGACACTTGCTAGAATGATCTGAGAAGCTGTAGGTGATCACAGTTGCTTTCCCACTTTACAAAAGTGCTCTGCATCTGAGATGCTACTTGGATTTTTGTCT